AATGCAAATACCAACTGAAATAAGTCTAATTATGATAGAGATTTGATATAACCTTTGTAGAATATGTTAAGGGAGAATTTTGAGATATTGAAGTCACGCAAATGAGGTCAAGTGAGTTAGCACAGACGCCTCTTACTTGATCCGAGTTGTGGGAACAGAGGGAAAACACTTGAGAAAGATAAGGGTGCATGCCAAGAGTTAGAGTAAATACAGTTATATAAAAATTGAGTACCATCTCTTTAGGTTATTTTATTTCCTTCCATCACTAGAAAACTGTAACCCATAGACATAGATTTTGAGAAAGTTAAAATCAAAACTTTAAATGAAAATCAGCCTGCTGGGACCTGGTGCTGGGGTGTGCCTCCCTACCTTTTTTTAGAGACCTGGTGCTGGGATGTGCCTTCCTACCTTTTCTTAGGAACCTGGTGCTTGCATGTGCCTCCCTACCCTTTCCTGGAACCTGGTGCTGTGATGTGCCTCCCTACCTTTTCCTGGGACCTATTGCTGTGACGTGTCTCCCTATTATTTCCTGGGACCTGGTGCTGGGATGTGCCTCCCTACTTTTTCCTGAGACTTGATTCTGGGATGTGCCCCCCTACCTTTTCCTAGGACCTGTTACTGTTATGTGTCTCCCTACCTTTTCCTGGGACCTGGTGCTGGGATGTGCCTCCCTACCTTTCCCTGGGACATGGGGCTGGGATGTGCCTCCCTACCTTTTACTGAGACCTGCTGCTGTGATGTACCTCCCTACGTTTTCCTGAAATCCTGTTGCTGTGATGTACCTCCCTACGTTTTCCTGGGACCTGGTGCTGTGATGTGCCACCCTACCTTTTCCTGGGACCTGGTGCCATGATGTGCCTCCCTACCTTTCCCTTCATCCCGGCACCCCTAAGCATCCTTCCTAGTTTTCTTCTGCCCTATATTTGTTTTCATCTGCTTTGAAGTCCTAGCACGTATTATCCCTCTTGCTAATCAATTGTTATCATGATCTTCTGTGTGGTATTCCGGTCCCCAGTTTCTCCTCCTACATGCAGTTGATAGAGTGTTCTTCCTGAAGCCTAACTCTGAAAATGCCAACATTCTTCTCCCAGAAGACAAAAGTATTCCTAAACATCAATGATTCTTCAAAGACTACCCAGTGTCATTCAAATTCCTTAGGAAACCACACCCTATTCAAAATCAAATATTTTAATGCATTGTTATTTTTTCCTTAAAGAAAAATCTGTTTTTAAAAATATTTTTATTACAAAAGTCTATGATAAAATGAAGACACGTTGCAATGGGAATCATTATGCCTAATTTTGAACCAAATATTCCTTGCTATCACCAAGTAGTTTGTAGTGCAACTTACAATATCCTCTTTGGCTAAAGAGGCAATTTCTAGAGAATGTCTAGATTTCAGATCATTGTAGGGAGCTAACTCACGCATATTTTAGATCAAGCTTGTTCATCATATTCAAAGCTTCTAAGAGCTTAATTTTTTTTCTTAAATGTTCAAATACTGAAAAAGTTGCAGCAGATGGTGTCCATAAATCTATAACTCTTCATATTCTAGGTACATCTTTCTTGGTTTGTTTTATATAAATTTGCTGTGTTTTAGTATTCAGTGAATGAAGATTCATCAATCATCCATTTTCAAAAATAAATATAAGTGCATTCCATGCTTAAATAATAATTAACAAAAGTGAGAAAACAAAATGTTTATCAACAGAGAGAAGCACTGTTCAGATCTTGATTTGTAACCTTTTATACTTTATAGATCTATCTAAATTAGTTTTTTAAGAATAGGATCTTATCATATTTATCACTTTTCAATCAGCTGTTTTCATTTAATGTATGACCTATGTTTGGCAGGCTTACTAATTAAAAGTTATTCTGCAGAATTGTTTTACTAGCTGTGTGACTCTAGGGGAATAACTTAATATCTCTGTGATTAAATTTTCCTATATGAAAGATAGAGATGAAAATAGTACCTTACCCTTAGGGCTCTTTAGAGGATTACATGCAAATTACCCACGATATACGGAGGATCCCCAACTAAACAATGGTTTGATTTTTCTACTTTATGATAGTGTGAAAGTGAGACACATTTAGTAGAAACCTTACTTAGAATTTTATTTTGATCTTTTTCTGGGCTAGCAATGTGCTCTACAATCCTCTCTAGTGATGCTAGACCATAGCAGCGAGTCAAAGCTTCCAGCTAGCCAGGCAATCATGAGGGTAAACAGTCGATGTCTGCAGTGTACTATGCTGCCAAATGATTTTGCCCAACTGTAGGCTGATGGAATTGTGCTGAGTATGTTTAAGGTAGGCTAGGCTAATCTATGAGGCTTTGTAGGTTAGGTTTACTAAATGCATTCTTGACATTATATTTTCAACTTACAACAGGTTTATTAGGAAGTAACCCCATTGTAAGGAGATAAGCATCTATTTGTACAGTGTTGCATGTAATAAAGAATAACAATAATACGTTATTATGCAAAATTAAAGTTTTTTTTCTGGAATAGCGTGTGGCATCTACACAGTTATGACTAGGTCGACACCAATCTATGTGAACCAGTAAAGTTTGCTTAAAAATAATTAAACACTGATAAAGTGTCACGATGAAATTTAGGATGACATTATAGAAGTGTTTGTTTACAAGGAATAATATTTAAAAAGTCTTGTTCATTCATATAACACATACATTTATATATATCTCATATACATAACTAGTATAGTTTTTGTCACTGAAGGTTTTATCATTTTTCTATAACAACTATAGATTGCTAGTGCTATAAAATTTACTAAATTATAAAGTAAAATATATTTTTAAAAAATTATTTGTAATAATTATGACGAATGAGCATTAATTTCTTTGAATATCAAAATGTATTATGAATGCTTGACTAAACTTTACTCAGGTTTCTTCCTGACTCTAGATCCTAACCTTCCTTTCCTTTGAGCAATTTTTTTTGGTTGGGGGCGGTAAGAGCAATTTAATTGTACATTCTCTCTCTGCCCTTTTGAGATGTAAAGATTTTTAAAGCCTCTTGCCAGTTTTACAACCCATGGCTGTCTGTCTTTCTCAAGGATCTGGGAACCAACTCTTCCAAATGTAATCATCACAGAAGATACTGCCCTTTCTCTTAGCTTCTATGAGAGGGTAGAAGCCAACTTTGACTGGAGCCTTGCTCCAAGTTGTCAAACTACCTCCTGCCATGAAGATATAAGAACATTTACTTTTCCTTTGGGCAAAAGAATTAGCAAACACAGGTAACCTGTCAGCCCCCTACCCTAGTTCTTAAAAATTCTCCAGACTTTTTTTCTTACTGAAACAGGGAATCTACACTTGGTGGTCTCTCCTCTATTGTTGGCAATAACATCAACTTCTGTCTGTCCATCTTGTCCAGTGTGATTTTTCTCTTTGATAGAGACATAATGGTTCTAGATTCTTGCTGCTTGCTCTATAATTTGGGGTCAGTTACATGGTAAACTTTTATTTCCAATTTATAAATGGGAACTTTCAACACCTCCCAATTACAGCAGTCATCCAAATGAAAGGAGATAATATATGTAAAGCACTTTACAGAATGATGCATAAGTTCTCAGCAAGCCTGAAAATTAAAAAGATCTAAGAGATTAAATAGACAATTATGAAAAGACTCTGCCAATAAACATATTAAGAAAAATGTTCAACTGTAAAGTTTTTAAAGTAAATTGAAATAACAGTACAATATTAGTTTTAAACAATCGATGTGACATAGATTTTGTAACATGTCTCTACAGAGCTGGCCAGTGTTTGGCAAAACACATACTCCTATATACCAGGGCTGAAAATATAATGGAAATATAAATTGCTATCTTTTTTTTTTTTTTTTGAGACAGAAGTTTCACTCTGTCACCCAGGCTGGAGTACAGTGCGTAACCCCAGCTCTTTGCAACACCTGCCTCCTAGATTCAAGCAGTCCTCCTGCCTCAGCCTCCTGGGTAGCTGGGACCACAGGCACGTGCCACCACACCTACTTTTTTTGGATAGTTTGCAGAGATGGTGTTTTGTCATGTTGCCCAGGCTAGTATCAAACTCCTGACCTCAAACGATCCACCTGCTCGGCCTCTCAAAATGATGGTATGATATGCGTGAGCCACTGCACCTGACCTATTCTCTTTTTGGAAGGCAATTTGCCAATTAAGTATCAGAAATCTTTCAATTGTGCCTGCCTTGCAATTCTACTTTTAGATAAGAAATAGTTGAACATTAGTGAATTTTAATAAACACGGAGGTTTTTCATAGTCATATTTCTAATAATGAAATTTGGAACTGACCTAAGAAATCAAATCAAAGAAAATAAATAAATCATTGTACAATTATACAAGAGAATATACTATGCAAACATTTAGAATCACACTTAAGAGCCTTTTGTAGTTGAGACAATCTTCATGATAAAATGTAAAGTGAAAAAAGTTAAAGAGCATATATAGCCATCCAAATATTCTATATCAAAGAAGTTAGGGTTCTAAAATAACATATGACAAATATTAACTGTAATCATCATTTTTTTTTTGCAGTTTTTTGCAATTTATAAATAATGGGCAAATAATGTGACTATAATCAAAATAACCAGTTTTGGTATTCATTCTCCAGTTAAAAAGCAAGGTTTTCTTTTAGGCCATTTTATCTCTATCAAGAATTAAAATAAATATTTCTGTGTTGTTTTCTATCTTCTCTTTAGGCTCTTCTTGCTTTCTTTTAGCTTTTCTGACTTTATTTCTATGAGCTTTCATTAACTTTTATATAAGTTTGTCATAAATTGTGTTATCTCCAAATAAACATAATAATTTTCACTGTTTTTTTATTTGAATGATTATCCCAAATACTGAATAGACATTTTTCCCCCATGTGTCTTTTCTTCATGAAGATGTCAGTGTTATTCCTAAAATTAGATGACACCATCTGATGTTGTTCACACAGAATAGGCAGACTACAATCAATATGGCCAGGACACTGTGGTGGGGTGAGGGGACTGGTAAGGGGATGGAAGTCAGTATGATTGAATCTTTTAATAAATACATTTGGCTTATTGGCTTATTTCTGTTCCCTATATAGATAAAACCTACCACTGACTGAATATTGCCTATCAATTACCAAAAAAAAGCACTTCATATCTAAGAACTATCAAAAAACATGGACTTACTATAGGTTAGTGAGAAAGTTAACAAAGGCTCACATGAAGGATTTTATTTTCTCAAAAGATGTAAGACTAATGAATTATTGGTTTTCTCTCTAAACCAACATTTTCCTTTCAATTCCTAACGCTCTTTTTTTTAAAAAAACACATTTGCATGGTAAATTAGTTGGCATAAACAACGTATTTTTTAAATTGTTAGATCTGACTCATGTTGAGACGCACAGGAAGCTCAAAGTAAACATTTATGGACTTGGCAACACCTTGAAAAAGCAAACTCAGACCCAAAACTTTCATGGAACTGCTGCAGGTCACATTATCTTCTGGCTGAAAATTAAAATGACACCTGGAAAATACAACTACGCTTTTCAAGGGACAAAGCCCAAATCAAATAACCTCCCTACTTAATACCACTGTGCCCTGAAATAAGATATCTTATCCAATTTGAGTAAGGGAAGAGGCAGTATGAATTCATTTATGTGGCATGAATACTGTCTTATTTGCATACAAAAGTGATCATTATAATTTTAGAATGGGTAGTTTCTTAAAGGAGAATAACACTCCTCTTTTCATCAATGGACTCTCATTTGAAGCTAAACCAATATAAACATTTGTAAGAATTAACACTAGAAAACTAAGTGTTTCTAGTAAATCTGATTGACTTCTGTAAAGTTCTGAGTGTGTAGATTTTTTAACTGCAGTGTTGTAGATTTTTTAAATAGCTACTTGCTCTTTTTTTTTTAATCTTGGAACAATGTAAGATTAAAGAAAAGTTACAAAAATAGTACTGTTTACTTACACTCTCACCCAGCTTCCCCTAATGTTAACAGTTTACAAAACTATAGAAAAATGATAGAAACTGGACAAATACATTACTACAGCATTTTAAACTTGTTTATAGATATTATTTCAATTTTGTCAGTTTTGCCTTTAATGTACCTTTTAGGCCCAGGATCTAATCCAGAATCCTATATTGCATGGAGTTGTCATATCTCCTTAGTTCCACCAATCTGTGACAATTCCTCAGACTTTCTTCTTCTGCCATCACTGGGATACTCTTTTTTTTTTTTTTTTTTTTTGACGGAGTCTGGCTCTGTCGCCCAGGCTGGAGTGCAGTGGCCGGATCTCAGCTCACTGCAAGCTCCGCCTCCCGGGTTTACACCATTCTCCTGCCTCAGCCTCCCGAGTAGCTGGGACTACAGGCGCCACCACCACGCCCGGCTAGCTTTTTGTATTTTTTAGTAGAGACGGGGTTTCACCGTGTTAGCCAGGATGGTCTCGATCTCCTGACCTCGTGATCCGCCCGTCTCGGCCTCCCAAAGTGCTGGGATTACAGGCTTGAGCCACCGCGCCCGGCCTGGGATACTCTTAATGAATACTGGTCAGTTATTTTGTACAATATCCCTCAATTGTGTTTATCTGATATTTTCGCATTGCTAGATCATGGTTATGGATTTTTAAGAGCACACAGAAGTGATGTGGAGCTATTCTCAGCACATCCCATTATGGGACTACATAATGTGAAACATCCAACTTATCGTATCCTTGCTTTTTGGAGTAGGTTATTTTCATGGGACTGTCATAGAGCTGAATGTTGGCAAATGGCTATCCCAAAATGTTCATAGAGAATAATTCATATGAAACCTGGTCAGAGATTACTATTAAGAAAAAAGAACAGGCATATTTTTGGTTCACCCCTCACATTTAAAATGTCAAGTCACAGGTATCAATGTTTTTCTATTAAACTGAAAGTGAGGCTATTATGTAGATAAACAAAAACAAATCAACAGAATGGTGCATCTTCAGAAGAGAAATTTCTCTATTATATTTGGGACTTTGGGAGAGTGGAGAGAGAGGAAAAAGTTACATATGTATGTATAAGCTACATATATATATACACACACACGTGCGCGCGCACACACACACCCACACACACACAGAGCTTAGTTTACCAGAAACCATGTGAATTTTAAGCTGTGAGGAAATTAGTGTGACTCGATATTTTGATATTAGTGTATGATGATTCCAATAACTAATTCATAATTACATATATTAAAGATGGAGATATAATACTCATTTGAAGGGATGTCTGATATGGTTAACTGGGCAGGAAATAAAAGAAACTATTTTCAAACACATTTCTCCACACCTCAAATGAAATATGAGTAATAGGCATTAGGATGAACTAAAATGTTAATATTTTAGATTTTACTATCACTCTTACAATCAGAAGTCTCTCCTGTCCAACTTAAGAAGCTGGATTCCATCTGTATATTTAGGGTGCAATTTGTTGTTTTCAACTGAGGTAGTCAAGGATAACTGGGCACAGCTATTTTTTCCATCTATAGACAGAGAAAATATTTTTAACAGGGTTACTCAGGGACTGCAGTTAATTATCATGGGTATAGTTTGGTACACATCTATATTGATGTCCACCCCAGGCCAGGCATGGTGGCTCACGCCTGTAATCCCAGCACTTTGGGAGACCAAAGCGGCCGGATCATCTGAGGTCGGGAGTTCAAGACCAGCTTAGCCAAAATGGTGAAACCTTGTCTCTACTAAAAATACAAAAAATTAGTTGGGTGTGGTGGCGGACTCCTGTAATCCCAGCTACTAAGGAAGCTGAGGCAGGAGAATCGCTTGAACCCCGGAGACGAAGCTTGCAATGAGCTGAGATCGCGCCACTGCACTCCAGCCTAGGCAACAAGACCTAAATTCCATCTCAGAGAAAATAAGTCAGCCTCGAGTTTGAGTAAAAATTAAATAATTGAGCTAAAACCTATCTGCTACTTGATTTCACTCAACCCTCTCTTGCTCCACCCCTTCAAGCTGATTTGGTTCTCACTGGGGAGCCTTCGGGAGTGACTGGGTCAGGGAGCAGGGAGTTTTTGAATGCTTTCAACTTATCTTTATGTCCCCTTCTCCTACATCATGTAGAATAAGTCAATATGGGATTTTAGGGTAGTAAACATCTCAGATTTTCTGGCGTACAGCCTTACACAATTTCTCAAATAGGAGTGTATGTCGTGCAAATGCAGCACTTTCCGCACAACTACATTTTGAAATAACCATACTACATGGATTTGACATCCACTGAAATAAAGTTTTGTTGTCTATTAAAGATGTGTTATTGTTTCCCCACAGGAAGATTCATAAATGCTTTACATCTGGGGTTCAAAATCTAGGCTTGCATATTTGGATAATTTTTCTAAGAACCATCATAGAACATCCTTTCTAGCATTGTTCACTTAGAAGTTAAACTCCTTTTTCATTAACTTTCAATAAACAGTGAAAAAGAAAATGTAATATGATCCTCTACCTGTTGTTTTTTAGGGGAAACTGGCCTATTAATTTCAGGCTTCCCGAGTCACTCTCCATTGTCCCTACTATGCTATTTGTTGAGACTTCTTAGATGCTATGTACTCTGAGGCCTCTGCCCTCCCTTTTCCTTACTAATGTCAGATCTGCTAAATCCATTCATACTCAAGTCAAAAATGAAAGATAACATGACTACCACAGACAGGCATGAGGGTACTTTAACAGGAGACTAGAGATTAAAAGGAAAAAAAAATAAAGTAGTCTCCCATGTTACAACTGGTACAGATGAGTTATGAGTTGTCAGATAATCTCACCCACACCCTTAATTTCCCACAAGGGAGGTCCCACCTAATAGATAGCGGTAATGGAAGGAGAATGAAACTTCATGGGTATTATAATATGGTTTTTTCTTTTCTGATGTCCTTGCATGACATATTTGAAATTATGATTATTATTAAAATACTGCCCATTGTTATTTGTCTACTTATTTTGAATTAAGAAATTCTGTCTCAAAAGGACTCAAGGTGGCT